GTTGATTCCTCACTTTCTAGATCTGTGGTTCCCTAATTGGGTCAACATGCAGGGATTTCATGGGAGACTTAGAATTTTTGTGAAATCAGGGCCAAGAGTGATAGGACAGTGGGTAGAATGCTTGACTTGCATGTGGCTGAGCAGAGTTTGAATCCTGGCATCCCAAGCCTTATCAGGCATGATCCCTGAGTGCAGAGCCAGGAATAAACTGTAGCACAGCTGGGCATGGCCCACCCCACCAAAAGAAATTAATAGCACCTACTTTCAGTGAATGTAGTGAAGATTGCATAATGTAATAAACTCTTATGACAACATACATAACCACCGCCTGAGGCACTATTACCGAGGAACAGTGAGACTAAGAACACTAAAGGAGGGATATTTGCACTGTGGGTCAGGGCATTTGCTTTGCCTGCAATTGATCCAGGTTCAGTCTGTGTCACTCCATATGGTTCCCTGAACCCTGCCTGATGTGATCCCAGAGCTCAGAGCCAGGAGTAAGACCTGATCACTTCCAGGTGTGGCTAAAATCCCACACATAAACATACTGTATTCATATATTTTTTATTGGGGGTATGAGCCGCATCCAGCAGTGCTTAGGGATTTTTTTTCTTTTTTTTTAAGTTTTTGGAGCACATACCTGGCTGTACTCAGAGCTTACTCCTGACTCAGTTCAGGGATTATTCCTGTTGAGGATCAGGGGGACCATATGGAATGTTGGGGATCTAACTAGTGTTGGCCAAATGCAAGGCATGTGCCCTAGCAGCTGTATAATTTCTCTGGTCCTGAGGGGTCACTGCTGGTGGTGTCAATGATCTAACCTTACAAACATCTTAACCCCTGTGCTATCTCACCACTCCATGAGTACAACTGTAAACCATGCTACAATTAAAACAAAACAAAACAAAAAAGTCAGAGGCTGGAGAGTTCACACAGGGTTAGGTTAAGGTGCTTTCCTTGACTACTAGTCCCTCAGGGGTTACTCCTGAGGGTAGAACTGGGAATAGCCTCTGAGTGCTCAAGAAGTTTGTCCCAAACTAAAACTGTGAATATTCTTGGGTGGTGAGCTAGCTCAATGGGATGGGGCACATGCCTGGCATGAATGAGGCTCATGGGCAATCCCTGGAACTGCATGGCCCTGGAGTAGAGGTACCCCAAGTGGGCCCTCGTATTGCTGGACCTGACCATTAGTCAGCACAATGAACTAAGAACTGCTGGAAACTGTCCCTGAGCACCAACCACTGGGGGGACCCCCCCACCTCCCATGCCATGACACAAGAATTTCATGGGATACTACAATAAAGTTTCTTGTAGTACCCAGTGAGGGTATACAGCTCACTGTTTGCAGAGCTAATATTCTGTTTGGATTTATTGGGCTTAAGCACTTAGAATAACCTTAAGGTACTAAAAGGTAGTTTAGTAGAGCAGCAGAGACCAAAGGGGAGAAAAGGCCAGATGTATAATCGGTGACTGCTGGTGCTGAATCGTGAGGTTAAAGGCCCCCTGTAAGCGAACAGGTAAGGATGAGTAACCACTGCATTGAGATTGTTCTAGGAGGGACTGGGGTAGCATGACGTGGAGCTAAGTTTTCCATAACAGTTATCTACCCTAAGAAGTTAAAAACATTTTTTAAAAGTAAAATTGTTTTATTTAGAAACTGCATGTGTGAGAGGAGAGGAGAAAGAAGGAAAAAAAACTATAAATGTTCATTATAAATTAATTTGGAACTTTCTTCTTTTCTGGAGAAGCCTATGCTCTCTCTTGAACATCTCTCTCTTCAACTTAGCCCTCTAGGCACTGCTGCGGTTGTCTAAGGCATCTACGACAATTAGTAAGCAAGCACTACTCCAACTTGCTTCGCATACCTACTTTGAAAACTCTTCCATTATCAGGAGCCAGAGGAATAGTACAGCAGGGAGGGCATTTGCCTTGCACGGAGCTAACGTGGGTTCAATCCCCAGCACCACCAGGAGTAATCCCTGAGTGCAGAGCCAGAAGTAACCACTGAGTATCACTGGGTGGGGGGAGATTCCCTACCACCAAAGCAAAGAAAAAAACCCAATTAAATAATGCCACAGTAAGTAAAAATCTTTCATTCTTTCTCACTCCCCTTTGACCCTTACCTTGTCTCTCAAATTGAGATGTTCTCATGGGAGGACCCTATAAACTATAAAGATAATCTTGTGTGTGGGGGGTGGGGGTGGAGGGGGAGGCCAGTGCGGGGGTGTGGATGCAGAGGGGAATGAAATTCTTGGCAGTAGTGGGGATCATGTGGTGCCAGTGATTGAACCCAGGTGTCCTTCATGTAAAGCACACACTTCAACTCTCTGAACCAACTTCCTGGACCCCAAAGATAATCTGACTGTTGTTGGTCAGGAACTCTGACCCACAAGATAGACTTTGGCCCAAAGGAGGAAATTTAATCAATCAATCATGCAAGGCCTATGTTCTAGCACTTGAGTTATCTCCTGATCCCCATTTTCTTTGAAGCTTACTCTAAAGCTGGTGCTGGTTTCCTAGCTTGTTTCCCAACTTGTAAGTTGCCTTTTGGGCAATAAAGTCCTTCTTTTTCATCCAGCTGCCCCTGTGATTTCTGGACAATAGTCTTGTTGGGCTGGAGCGATAGCACAGTGGGTAAGGCATTTGCCTTGCACGCAGCCGACATGGCCGACCTGGGTTCAATTCCTCTGCCCCTCTCGGAGAGCCCAGTAAGTTACCGAGAGTATCTCACCCGCACGGCCAAGGCTGGCAAGCTCCCTGTGATGTATTCAATATGCCAAAAAAAAAACCAAAAAAACAGTAACAACAAGTCTCACAATTTGATGTGAGATGTTACTGGTGCCAGCTCGAGCAAATCAATGAACAACGGGAGGACAGTGCTATAGTCTTGTTGGTAAATATGGAGAACACAAGCTGCTGGTGCCAAGCTGGAGCGATCCTAGCACTGATAGAGAGAACACCCTTGTCTTGTCAAGGATCCTAAGACCAGGGGCTCAGTCTCAGAGAACTTACTAGATGGAAGATAAAGATTCTGGCTAAATCAGAAATTTTGTTTTGGGGGCCAGAGAGATAGTACAGAGGGTAGGGTATCTGTCTTGCACGTAGTCGACCCCAGTTCTATCCCCGTCATCCCATATGGTCCCCGAGAACCACCAGAAGTGATAGGAGTGATTCCTGAGTGCAGAGCTCGGGAGTAAGCCTGCACCACTGGGTGTAACCAAAGCCAAAAAAAAAAGAGAGAAATTTTCTTTGTTTTGGACTCACATCCAGCCATGCTCAGAAGACTACACAGGGTGTCAGGGATCAAACTTGGGTTGGTTGCTTGCAAGGCCTACCAGTTCAGCTGGTAAAAAAAACCCTAAAAAACCTTTTTTTTTTTTTTTTATGTTTCTATGCTAAAGCCAGCAGTACAAAGCATGTGTGCAGGGGACTGAACCTGCAGGAGGCTGAAGCCTCCCATGCAAAGCATGTGCACTCTGCCCTTTGGGGTATCGCCCCACCCCAATCTTGAACTTGTTAACTGAGTTAGTTCAACAGTAGGTGGTGGGTATATTTAGATGAAAAGCCTATTCACTTCTCTATTCTGCAACATGAATAGTAACAGAAATTCTTTTTTTAAGCAAAAAATGATTGCTTAAGGGTTGGAGAGGTAACACAGCAGGTAGGGCATTTGCCTTGCACACGGCCGACCCGGGTTCGATTCCCAGCATCCCATATGGCCCTCTGAGCACCACCAGGAGTCACTCCTGAGTGCAGAGCCAGGAGTAACCCCTGTGCATTGCCAGGTGTGACCCAAAAAGCAAAAAATAAATAAATAAAATTCTTCTGCTTGATACTTTGTTGGTGGGTATGTTAAGATTCATTTGAAAGGTTAAGACCTTTCCTACAGTACTATGAATCAAACTTGGCTCAATTTTTTAAAAAAGGCAACACTTCACAATAATAAAATGAAGTTAAAAGCCCCAAGGTGGGGAGGTGGGGGAGAAAATAAATAAAAAGGAAAGCAAAATTGTAAAAAAAAATTAAAGCTCCAAGCTATGGGACCGAGAAGATAGTTCAACAGACTGAGTAAGCACTGCATGGCATTGCATGGTCCCAAGCACCAATGAAAGAGAACCCCAGGTACTGAGCACCACCAGGGGTGACCCAAACATTTGATTGGGGGAAGCCCCACATGATGTATAATATATACCTCATCCCATTTATTAGGCCTTTTCTTCCTTCTTTGGTTTTTGGTCCACAATCAGTAGTGCTCAGGGATCACTTCTGGCAGTGCTCAGGGGATCACACGTGGTGCTGGGAATTAAGCTGGGGTTGGCCATGTGCAAGGTAAGGCAGTGGCCTTACCCCTGTACTCTCCAGCCCTCTTAAGTCATTTCCAGTTAACTTCAAGTTCATAAATTGACAATGAGGTACAAAGCCTGCTGACTTGGCAATGATCAGCTATAACAAAACTGTTTATTTGGGAAGAGGGATCATAATCTGTTTCCACAACCAAGGAGCAGTCCAAATGTGTACTACCCAGGGGTTCACAGGGTGATTTAAAAGACAAAGCAGGGGAGTGGATTAACAAAGGTTATCTGTTTGAAATCATGCACAGGGTAACAGGAGCAGAGAATGTTCCAATGTGGGGTCTCGTAACAACCAGCAGAGGCAGTCCTCCTGAAACTTTCACAATCGCCAACAGGCAAGAACAAGATGCTGATATTCTTGCAAAAGCAGAGGGAGAAATCCAGGAGTGGCAGTCATTTTGTAAGGCCGTACAGGGAGCTTGAGTCAGGCTGCTCATTTCTTGCCTGTGTCTTCCTGGCAGCTGGAGGCTAGGAGGAGTCTGACTCCAAATAGGTTCTAGACGCCAAACCAAGAGAAGACCATGAGTCCCACACGGGAAAGGGGCATCAAAGATGTCTCCTGTGCACCACTGTACAATTATGGTTTTATTCCTGCACGTCTGAAGTGATGGATGCTCGGGCTGTGGCTGGTTTAGTCCCCATGGTTGCGTCAAGCTCCTAGGCCCTCCTCTTCAGGCCTTCACGGTTTGTGAGAGGTTCAGGAGAGCTGGAGACTGTGAACACTTACTTACAGGAGTGACTATCGTTTTGGCATATGTTGCCCTTAGTCTTACTGCGGAAGCGGTTCATTCTCATGATGAGTCTTCAAAGGTCATGGCCAAGAAGCGGATGCCCTGACCAGCTTCCTCTGCAAGATTATCCCCCAGAGGAGCTATCTGGCCACCTACTTTTGATCACATTTCTAATAGCTGCTCTATTTCTTCAAGTACTGTTGTGAAATCATTTATCTGACCATTACATAAGGTCTGCTGCTCTAAGAACCGGGCTCTCTCCTCTTCTTTCATCTTCAACTTGACTTTTAAGGCCTGCAATGATAGACATTCAAAAGAAGTCGGAAGGAGCTGGAGAAACGGCACAGTGGGTAGGGTGACTGCTTGCCTTGCACGCGGCCAACCCAGGTTTAATCCCAGATATCCCATATGGTCTCCTGAGCGTGCTAGGACTAATTTCTGAGTGCAGAGGCAGGAGTAACCCCTGAGCACTGCCAGGTGTGGCCCCAAAACAAAAACAAACAAAAAGGAAGCCATAACACTTACATTTAATCTCACAGAAAAGAGAATACTGCAGCAGCACATTATGCTTCCGTTCCACTGAGATGGACCTCTGGAATCTTGACAAATGCTGCATGTGGTCTTACACTTGCTTACTTGTTCTGGTTACAGAACTGTCCCTCTACTACAGATTCCCACTAAACAGAAGCAGTGGTACCCTCTAGGAAGTGGAGCAACAGCCTGTGACTGTGCCCAGCAATTCAACTGCAGTCCCAAACCTCAGCATTGGGCTCTCTGGCTACGGGTCTCCTTGAGTCCGCAAGTCCCCAGGGCAGGATTTTGCATGATCTCGCTCGGGATTCTTTTCTGAGCAACCAGGGTCACACTATCTATGCCTGGCAAAGACGCCAATTCCTAGAGTATTTAGTACAGAAAGAGAAAATTAGTAAGAAACAAACTAGTGATATCCTAGGATGATTTGAAGCTTGCTTCCTAAAACTGCATCAGTGTTAGTAATTTGGTTTGTTTGGGCCATAGCTAGAGGGGCTCAAGTTTTAGGATTACTCCTGACTCTGTGCTCAGGGATCACACTGGGTGGTACTTGAGGGACAATACATGGTGGCTGGCACCAAACCCAGGTCTGGCCATGTGCAACACAAGCACCATAACCCCTGTACTCTCCGATCCTCAATGTTGGCTTCTTTTTTTTGTGAGTTTTTGGACTGTGCCCAGTGGTGCTCTGGGTGTATTTCTGACATTACACTCAGGGATCATTCCCTCCAGGCAGTACTCAGGGGATCATATGTGGTTGAGGGGATTAACCCTCGGTCGGTGGCATGCAAGTACCTTACCCACTGTACTACCTCTCTGGCCTCAGTGTCGGTACCTTAATGTTAACAAATTACATATTAATATTAGGAAAATTGAACTCTCTTGTTACTTGCAACACTTTTACACATCTAAAATTATTAAAATTTTATGAAAAGTAAAGATAAATAAGAGCGCTCCCAAAATCTATCATGCAAGGAATGATAATATATTTTTCTCATTTTGGGGCCACATCTAGTAGTGTTCAGAGATCCACTACTGGAAGGCTGGAATTGGGGGGACCATATAGGATGCTGAGGAGGGGGCCTGGGTCTGCTGCAAGCAAGGGAAGCACCTTGGTACAATCGCTTGCACCCAGGGATGGGAATCTTTCCTTGTGATGTCTGCTCTCACCTGTAATTCCTCCATCTGCTTTCTGGCTGTTTCATTAAAGAGCTTCAGCTCATCTTGCAAAGTTTCTAACAGCAACTAGAAGAACAAAAAAAGGCATAGCTCTTTGTTAAAACAAGAAAACTTGGGCCCGGAGCAATAGCACAGTGTGGAGGTGTTTGCCTTCCATGGGGCCTGCCTAGGTTCAATCCCCAGCATCCCATCCCAATAAATACACATGGTCCCCTGAGCACCACCAGGAGTAATTCCTGAGCATCGCCAAATGTGACCCCAAAAGCCAAAAAAAACATGAAAACTTTCTCTCTCTCTCTCACTCCCTTTTTAAAAAAATTATTTCATTTGGATTTATTTATTTACTTTGCTTTTTGTCACACCCGGCGATGCTCAGGGGTTACTCCTGGCTCATGCACTCAGGAATTACTCCTGGCGGTGCTCAGGGGACCATATGGGATGCTGGGAATTGAACCAGGGTTGGCCGCGTGCAAGCCAAACACCCTACCCGCTGTGCTATTGCTCCAGCTCCATGAAAACTTTCTTAAAGAAGAAATGAAGGTAATGAATGCTGACGCCACTTACACTCATTCCCAGGCCAGACCCACCTCCACGTGCTGTCTCACAAACACGTCAGTGCTGGACATTTAAGCTTGTTCTTTTGTAGTAGCACCAGGTGGTGCTCAGGGCTAACTCCCAGTGGGGCTCAGAGGACCATATGGGGTACCGGGGACAGAACCAGAGTTGACTCATGCAAGGCAAGTTCCCTATGCCTGCTGTATTATCACTTCAACCCCCCATTTATGTGGGGTACAGTAGTATATTTTCAACTGAGAGCTCATTTGTTTTTTGTTAGCTGCTGCTGCTCAGGGAACCGTACTCAGCAGAGCTCAGGATTGGGGGGAAAAGGATACCAGAAACACACCCCGTCCTGCTTGGCCTGGCTGGAGCGTGGGCCTCACACATGTTGGGCCACATTCTCAGCCCAGACACATTCTTATCTGTAAGCATGGCCACCTTCCCTGTACCATGCTGTCCGGTGCACACTCCTCCTCCCTGCCGCTAGGAAAAGGCTAACCAGAGTTGCATCTTGCTGAGGAGACTGCAGGATCTGCCCCGGCCTTGCTCGCTCCCTCCAGTCCTTACCATTGAGTCCGTGTGATCTGTGGTGGAATCCGGCTGGGCTGACAGGGCCTCCTCACAGCCTAAAATCGATGGAAACAACAATGACTGAGCTTCACTCAGGAAACGGTGCCTCAAGTAAAGGATAAGGAATCCCAGGAATACTCATGAGAGAAACTTCTGTCTGTCCCCAGCCTCCCACCAGCTTTTTCATATATACAGACCTCCAGGACCAGCCACCACCATGCTGAGACCACTCTCCGCACACATGAAGGTACTGGCAGAGGGACAAAGCCACACGGGTTCCAGGGCCGAGATCTCCAAGCCTACCCGGATTGGGGCCGAGCATCCTCCACCCAGATCCTCCAAATTCCAGTAGGCGGGGGTCACACCCACCACCTGGCCCCCTGGCGCCGTGTAATCCCATCAGCGGCCAAGACTCAGAGACTATAAAATCCAGCTCCCGGACGAGACCAGTGGAGTCTCCTGCCCCTGCGCCTGGCTGTTCCTTGCTGGGGTCCCTCGGAGGGGAGCGGGTTGAGCTTTCCTCCCCGCCCCGACCAGGGCTCCGGCAGCCGAAGACCTCCAGGACCAGCCACCACCATGCTGAGACCACTCTCTGCACACATGAAGGTACTGGCAGAGGGACAAAGCCACGCGGGTTCCGGGGCCGAGATCTCCAAGCCTACTCGGATTGGAGTCGAGCATCCTCCACCCAGATCCTCCAAATTCCAGTAGGCGGGGGTCACACCCACCACCTGGCCCCCTGGCGCCGTGTAATCCCATCAACAGCCAAGACTCAGAGACTATAAAATCCAGCTCCCGGAACCGCGCGGCCGCGAATGCGCGACATCTTATCAGGACATCTTTTTATGACATCTTATTATCTCATTCCTATTTTGGACAAACTTGCAGGCTATCGAATGTAGCCTGCCCACAGGGCAGAGTCTGGCAAACTCCCCATGGCGTACCCAATATGCCAAATACCAGTAACAATGATGGGTCTCATTCTCCTAAAGAGCCTTGAATATAATCTCAGGGCTAGGATGAAAGAGACGTTACTGGGGCCTGCTCGAGGCAATCGACGAATCACAGGATGATGAATGAATGAATATACACATATATACATATATATAATAATATATATATTATTCTTTTGGGGGGTCACACGCAGTGATGCTCAGGGGTTACTCCTTGCTCTGCACTCAGGAATCACTCCTGGAGGAGCTCCAGGGACCATATGGGATGCCAGGAATTGAACCCGGGTTGGCACAAGCCCTCCCACCAGCATTTTCTTTGGCAGAGTTACTGCCTGCCCTCCCAAGCTCGTCACCTCCTTCCTCTCTTGTTGGTGATGATCTCAAATTCACCCTACTTCCTCCAGCAGAAAATGTGTCCAAAGGAAATGCATAGGCTGAATTTCTGGGTTATGTTTATACTATGCAAAACCTTAAAAGAACATTTCAGGCATTAAAAATGGTTGGTTTGGGGGCTAGAGAGATAATACACAAGAGGGTAGGGCTGATAAGGGTTCAATCACCAGCACCACATATGGTTCTCCAAGCACCGCCAGGAGTGATTCCTTGGCCAGGAGTTAGAGCTGGGAGTAAGCCCTGAGCAACCCGCAGGTGTGGCCCATAAGAAAACAAAACCCTCACACAAAAAAATGACTGGTTTTGTTTTGGGGCCACACCCAGCAGAGTCTGAAGGTCATGGGATCAAACCTGAGCCCTCCATAAGCAAAATATGTGCTGCAGCCTTTTGAGTTATCTCCCTGGACCTTAAAAATTGCTCTTTTGTATACTAGCACATAAGCATAATGAATAAAAATCATACAAAAAAGGTTTATGGTGACTAGAATGGATATATCCCCTTCTTTGTGTTGTTTTTTGTTTGAGGGCCATAACTTATGGTGCTCAGGGATTACTGCTGGCTCAGTGCGCAGGGGACCAAGTGTGGTGCCAGGGACTGCAAGGCAAGACCCTTACCCCAGAACTCTCTCTCCAACCTGTGGGATATATCCTTTTTGGGGATGGGGTAAGTTCGGATCATGTCTGGTGGTGTTTAGGGGACTATACATAATGTCAGGGATTGAACTGGGGTAAGTCACATGTGAGGCAAATGACTTACTCTCTGCAGTATCTGGCTCAAGGAATATACACAGAGGTTAAGTAATGGCATTAAAAATCAAGTAATTCAAAAAAAACCTGGTCTCTTCTCTGGGTCTTCTCAGGCACCTCCATTCTGAGGCTTCTGTACTCTTTAAACATTTTCTTTTCCTGTCATATTTACTACTAAAGGCTACTCTTTTGGGACAAGGTTCAAAACGGAATCACAGGTTTTGTTCTTATTTTTTTTTCTTGGCGGGGGAAATGGTCCATAGGGTACACAGTGGTACACAGGGGCTACTCCTAGGTCTGTGCTCAGGGATCACTCCTGTTGGTGCTCAAGGAACTATATGCAATGCTGGGGATTGAACCTTATGCAGTGCCAGGAACTCAAGCAAGCTGAATGCAAGGCAAGAGTCTTACCTCTTGCACCCTTTCTCCAGCCCAGAAATTACAGTTTAAACACCATGATTCTGCTTGTTAGCAGACTTACACTTGCATAAGTCAATTAAGTCTGCTTGTTGGCACATTTAGGAAGCCTTGAAACAGAATTCTTTTTCTTCCCACCTGGGAAAGTTACCTTTATACCTTGAAAGAAATTTATGTCTGACCTGTGGGCAAAGTCATTTTGGCACCAAATGAGTGATCCAGGAAGTGACTGGAGAGGGTAAGGGGAGGACAGCTGCACAGGTGGGACAGCATGCTTTTACACCTTTCCCTTCCCTACATCCCACAATTGATGCAGTTCAGTAATTTTCATTGCAACTAGAACAAAAATCGCAACACTAACAGTATATCAGAAACTTAATGCCAGGTCTAAGGAAAGGGGTTCTTCACAATAAATGATGAAACAGTATGTCTTTGGTGATATGATGACACATGGAAGAGTGTGAAATAAGTGTATGTGCTTCTGCAGTATGATGACACATGAAGAGTGTGAAATACAGTATAAGTACTTTCACGGTAACAGCCTCAGGCCCCTCCAGTCTGGTCCACCTCCCACTGATTTTTTTAGGTATCACAACCGAACTGACGTATGTGAGACCTTCCTCTCCCTTTCCGCTCATGATAGCCGTTTCATACAGAAGATACACAAGAAACTTGACATCTGAGAATTAGTGCTCTGGAAAATAAATCTGGCCACATAAGGTCAGATGACTTAAAGCACGGACAGGAAACCACTTGGTCCTCTGCTTTATCAATGTTGCTTATTTACTTATATGGAAGCAGGATTTGGGTCACATCAGATGGTGCTCAGGGCTCACTCCTGGCAGTGCTGGGGGACCATATGCAGTGCCAGGAATTAAACTGGGGTGGGTCCCATGCAAGGCAAGCACCTTAACCTCTGTGCTATCTCTCCAGCCCTTATTACTGTTATTTTTTTTCTATAAAACAAAACCAAATCCAGAAATATTAAAGAACCAGAGTATAAAGAATGTACACAAGGCGCATATGCTGCCCAAGTGGCCAAGCACATGTGTCGCCCACATCTCCCCACCCCCCCTTTTTTTTTTTGCTTTTTGGGTCACACCTGGCAATGCACAGGGGTTACTCCTGGCGGTGCTCAGGGGACCATATGGAATGCTGGGAATCGAACCCGGGTTGGCTGCATGCAAGGCAAACGCCCTACCCGCTGTGCTATCGCTCCAGCCCCCGCATCTCCCCTCTTGAGATGTGTACTTTCATGCTTTCGTGTCAAAGCTCTAGCATGTGTGTAGGGGCTCTCTCCACCCTTGGAGAAGTCCATGTTCTCTCTTGAGTGTGTTTCTCTCTCTCTCTCTCACTTTCTCCCCCTCTACACCTTAAAAACCCTTCAAATAAAATTAAAAAAAAAAAGAATGTACACAAATAGAATGCACATGTAGATACATAGGTACATGCAGATACATTTTCCCTCTACCCATTCACCATTGCTGGAGTAGATGCTTTGCATGAAGAAAACCCAGATCTGATCCCTGGTGACCCATGGTTCCCCAAGGGACAGAGAGATAGTACAGGGGTGAAAACACTTGCCTTGCACACAGCCGAACTGGGTTTGATTTGGGGCACTGCTAGGGCTGACCCCTCAGTAGAGAGCCAGGAGTCAGCCTGGAGTGCTGCTAGGGGTGGCCCCCCCAACCAAAATTAGTGATATAAGTAAGTGTTCAGATGACCCTCTCTCCACAGCTGTTTGAAATTCTGTTGGCCAGGCTGTCAACATCACAAAAGAACAAGGCCTTTGCAGGCCAGCCCTGCACAGATGAGGCCAACGGGACGCTTGGTCTCCAGGCTCACCGGGAAGAGGGGTGAACTCTGCTGGCCCGGAGTCTGTGTGCCCTTACCTGAGGAGTCATCGCTTTTGCACTCCAAAATTGCCAAACAGTTGTCCTGAAACTTCTCCAGCAGCTCCACCCTTTGGGTCAGCTTCTTCAGTTCTCCCTGAAGGGGGACAGGAGTGCACATCAGGTCTGCCCACTGCCAAGGAGGGACTACCACAGCACAGGCCAGGTCCCATCTCGTTCCCAGGGCACCTCGGCATACCAAGCCTGCTCCTGCAGGGGCCACCCCTCCGGGGGCCACAGGCATCGCCAAAGCAGAGGACGGAGGACCAAGGGAACCCTCACCCGGATCTCAGTCAGCTTCTGGTGCAACTGCTTGTTGATGGTCTCTGAGAGCTGGTTTCTGTCTGTGAGTTCCTCCTCTGATGCCTGCCTCCCCTCTGGTTTGCACCTGTAATAACGACTGCACGTGTAAGAGGAGGTGAAGGGTAAAGCGTGCAGGCAGTGTAGTCACACAGGGTTTGAGTCCCAACTTCGTTGCAAAGGGGGGTGGCTGTGAATTTCTGGGAGTTGCACCATCTCTGAGGTGATTTTCTCATTTCTGGAATCAGGTTAATACAGTCATGGCCAACCCAAGTTCGATTCCTCCGCCCCTCTCCAAGAGCCCAGCAAGCTACCAAGAGTTTATCTCACCCGCATGGCAAAGCCTGGCAAGCTCTCCGTGACGTATTCAATATGCCAAACACAGTAACAACAAGTCTCACTATGGAGATGTTACTGGGCCCGCTCGAGCAAATCGATGAATAACGGGAGGACCGTGACCGTGACCGTGAGGTTAATACAGCATCTCCTCATTGCTAAGAAGATAAAGATAAAACTGTGCACGGTTTGGGGCTGAAGAGACAGCACAGCGGGTAGGCGGGTAGGGCGTTTGCCTTGCATGCGGCTGACCCGGGTCGATTCCCAGCATCCCATATGGTCCCCTGAGCACCGCCAGGAGTAACTCCTGAGTGCAGAGCCAGGAGTAATCCCTGTGCATCGCCAGGTATGACCCAAAAAGCAAAAAAAAAAAAAAAAAAAAACCTGTGCACGGTTTGTAGGGCAGCTACTGACATAGCAAACATTTAGACTCTAGAACAATGGCCACACATAATATTCAATATTCAATTTTTTTTCCTCCTCTCACCAGGTACTCCAGATCATGGACTGTCATTCTGCTAGAACACTGAGCCATTTCTGGGCATTGTGCCCTCTTCCTGGCCCCCAACATTACCTTTCTTTATCTCTTTTATTTTGTGTGTGGTGGGGGGGGGGGAGACGACACATCAGCGATGCTCATGGTTCACTACTGAGGGCTCAGGGAATATGGGATGCCAGGGATCAAACCTAGGTTGTCCACGTGCAAGGCACGCACCCTACCAGTTGTACTATCTCTCCAACTCCTATTAAACTTTCTTTCTGAAATTGAGTCATTTTTCATGGAGGGGGAGGGGAGTGGAAAGGAGTGTCAGTGATCAAACCCAAGGTACCATGTGCTCGACCACTGAGTCACCTCCTCATCCCTCTCAGAGTCCTTCTTGACAACATTCTGCAATATGAGCTCCCTTCCAGATCGGGACTGGAGAGATGGCTTAGCAGGGTGAACACATGCATTGTACGCAGAAGACCTGGGTTTGCTCCTCAGAACCACACAGGGGCCCCAAGGATCACCAGGAGCAAACCCTGAGCACAGAGCTGGGAGTGGCCCATGCACTGTCAGGTGTGGTCCCTAAGCCAACCACACAAATAAAACAAAAACTCTCCTAAATCAGAGGTTTTCAACAATAATCTAGTTCTGCAAACTTTTCAGCTTGTGTATTTTGGTGTTCATGACGGCAAAGCATGGGAGCTGGCCTTAACTGAGTGAGAGAGAGCATTTTCTAGTTCAGCAATATAGCGATATTTCTCTCCAGCTCACATACCAGAAGCAGTCAAAGGTCCCGAATGTCTGATATTCTGTTGATGGGCTTGGTTTGAAACTAGCCGGGCTTGATTTCAGGTCCTGGCTTGGAGCCCCAAAAGCTCCCATCAGGTTCTCAAACACGGCTGCACCTCCTAAAATTTCCTAAAAATTTCCTAAAACTTCCTAAAACTCCCATCCTGTTTCTGGGGTGATACTCAGACTGCACAGTGATGGAAACCGTGACTGAGATCCACAGCACTGACTCAGAGGCCGAGTGTGAGCTACTGACCCCTTTTTGATGTTCTTCTTGATGGCAGCTTCCGTAGCTTTCACCTGCCTGGAAAAACAGACACAAATCATGAATTAAGAGACTCACGGGCATGTGTTGGGACCAAGGCATAACAATGAGTCTGGTTTGCTAAGAACCAGAGATGAGGGTCAGAGAGCTACTACAGAGCTAAGACTCATGCCATGCGCACAGCTGATCCTGCTTCAATCCCTGCTAGGAGTGATCCCTGAGCACCACCAGGTATGGCCCAAGCCCCTGACACCCACCCCCCAACAAAACAAAACAAAAAGAGATGACTCAGAACTCCAGTGCAAGAAACCAAGTCCAACCTCTTGTATTTCAGCCCAAACAATTAAGAGAAGGGGCTCCCCCTCTGGACCACCTGATCATCTGACATATCTACCCAAAGGGTGAGGTCATCTCATCCGACCTCACAAGAGGGGACTGAGCACCGGGTGGAGCAACACACAAACAGCACCCTGGGTGAATACCTGGGGCTGGTGTTTGCCCAGTATGGTGATCTACACAGAGATAGTGGTGGGACGGGAAGAACTACCTCTAAAATTCTGGCTGTCTCCTCAGAAGAAGAGCATTTTTTAAAAAAAATTATTTTTATTTATTTTTTGCTTTTTGGGTCACACCCGGCGATGCTCAGGAGTTACTCCTGGCTCTGCACTCAGGAATTACTCTTGGCGGTACTCAGGGGACCATATGGGATGCCAGGGATTGAACCCAGGTTGGCCATATGCAAAGCAAACGCCCTACCCACTGTGCTGTCACTCCGGCCCCCAAGAGCATTTTGTTTTGTTCTGGATTTGGGTTATATTTGGTGGTGCTCAGGAGCTATTCAAGGCTCAGTGCTTGGGGACCATATGCTATTAGGGATTGAACCCAGCTCCACACCATACAAAGCATGAGCATAAGCCCACCGAGCTGTCTCCCAGCACAAGACAAACTGACAAATGCTTCAGCAGTGTTTCGTAGCTCTGAGCCCCTGACAGATGTTTGGGTGCCGGTGTTAACCCATGCAACGCTTCCCTGCCTCCCGCCCCCACTTTCAATTTTTGTGGTACCAGGCAATTTCAAAGAGGATGCTCTAATGGGATACCAAGGATCAGACTCACCCAGTCTCTCGTCTCAGTTTGATGGTTTTTGTGACATCATTCTCTGAAGCCCCTGAATAAAGAGGTTTGGAAATATCGACTTCTTTGCACTTCACAGGTAAGAGGCTCTTAGAAACACCTCGAGTTTTCACATCTGTGGAAAGAAACAGGATGCGAAGTAGATGACCATCAACATTCACAGCCTGTAGAAGCGAGTCATTCCAAACTCTCATGAATCTGCAATCTCATTCCAGCCAATGTCAACTGGTGAAGATGAACTCAGAAGATAGGACTTTAGGGGCCTACGCAATAGGACAGTGGATAGGGAACTTGCCTTACATGCAGCCAAACTGAGTGTGACCCCCAGTATCCCATATGGTCCCCTGAGCACAGAGTCAGGAGTAATCCTGGAGCACTGCCAGGTGTGGCCTTCCAAAAACAAGACAAAACAAAAAAAAAATATATATATATAAGGAGAGAAATCTAGGGGCTGGAGCAGGTAGAGCATTTGCTTTGCATGCGGCCGACTTGAGTTCGATTCCCAGCATCCCATATGGTTCCCTAAGCACTGCCAGAAGTGATTCCTGAGTGCAGTGCAGAGCCAGGAGTAACCCGAGTATCGCCGGGTGTGACCCCCCCCCAAAAAAGAAGAGAGAATTCTAGAGGAATGGGGGACATAAACCCAAAAAAAAATTGGGGGGGGGTTACACCCAGAGGTGCTTTAGGGCTTACTCCTAACTCTGCTGATAGTGCTTGAGGGATCATATAGGGTGCTGGGGATTGCACCTGTGTGAGCCACATGCAGAACGCCTTACCCACTGTACTCTACATGCCTGAAATCAAAATTCTTAAAATTGAGGGTGCAGTGTGTTTGAGGCTAGACAAAAGCCTGAAGATATATTAAACAGAATGGCCAAGAAGGTAGAGGCATGCATATGGAGAAAGCAGATATGGGGGCTGGAGAGATAGTCCAGTAGGTAAGGCACTTGCCTTGCATGTAGCCAACCTGGGTTGGATATCCAGCATCCGATATGGTTGCCTGAGCACCACCAAGGGTGAGTCCCAAATGTAGGACCAAGAGTAACCCCCAAGAACCATCAAAAAAAAAAAAGCAGATACAGACCCAAGTAAGAGCTAAATGAGGCATCGGGAAAGTCAATGGGCAAAACACACTGAACCTTTCACCAAACATGGGACCAATCCAACCACCACACAGCACAACTCTCTGGAAGGTCACACTCTTGCTGCTCTTAGCTTCTTCTTTCACTGTTCTTTAGTTGTCTGAATCCTCTTCCTAACTACTTTAACCTCTTTATGTTAGGCATCTTCATGGCCTCACTGCCCAGCAGAGTACCCGGCACCTTGGCACCAGAACTTGCCCACTGTCTACATGGAACCTTCTTCTTCCATGGGCTATTCCACAGAGCATCTCTAAACTGCCCGTCATCTGTGTCTCTTCCTTAGAGGTGGCCGATGCGGCATCTGCACTGGTCTACTTGCTGGGTCTCTGCCAGATCCAAAGAATGAGCTTTGCCAAGCCTCTTCCCCAGAGGAGAGCACTGTCCTGCTAGCCCTCAGGCCGGCCTTTCAACACATACTATTATATTCCATTGCAAAAGCAAGCGACTTGTGTGGGAACAGGACACACGCAGGTGCTCTTCTACTCAGACTTTCACTGACATCACCGTGAAATGACCATGCGTCAGGCTCTCGTCAGGCTCGGCCTAAGTGAGTCCAGGGCCTCCTACATGAGAGACGTGTTCTGTTCCAGTGAGCTTCACCCAAAGCCAAAAGGATTTTTATTTGCTTTTTGGCCACCCCCCAGCAGTACTCCTGACTTACTCCTGGCTCTACACTCAGAAATTACTCCTGGCGGTGCCCAGGGGACCATATGGAATGTCACAGATCAAACCTGGGTCAGCTGCATGCAAGGCAAACACCCTACGTGCCTGTATTATCTCTCCAGCCCAAAGATTATTTTTGGGGGTGCGTGGAGTAAAGAGGTAACCTTGGGGAATATATTTACCTTTTCTCTCAAATATTAATAAATTATTAGTAGAGGAACAAATCTACCTGTATAAAGAAATTAATAGTAAATTGATCATAATTAATATTCTTCACTGTCTGCAACTGGTTCCAATAATGAATTTTTTTCAAGAACCCAAGGCTTGATTTTTATTTGTAAGGAAAGATTTTGCAGGATTTAACCGACTGTCACCTTTAAGAGACATTATGGAGGGAACTGAACGGCTGGTGTTTAGAGCAGGGGACCTACTTTTCTATTATTTTCTTTTACACCTTGATTTTCTGCGCCCCTCCCTGCCCCCCCTCCCCACCATGTATTTACTTTAACCTATTCAAAACACTAAAACCAATTCCTGCCCCTATGTCAGAATAAACTACCTAGGAAAGAAGCAAATTTAAAAAAACAAAAAAAGTTCTTATGGAGGCGGGGTATAGTGCACTGAATTAAAACAAGGCTATTTTCGCACTCCAGTCAACTGATTTTTTCTCACCAAATAAGAAAAAAAAAAACAATTAAATGACTAATGAGGTCACATCATCCCCCCCCCCCCCCCACCTCGGCTGCCACACAGCCCTAGGATGCGGGGAATTCCCCCGGGAGAGGCTCTGCTGCGCTCCTCCAAGAGCTTAGTTACATCACACGTGAGTCCCACCTCACCAGCTGCTCAGAATCGCCTTGGCCAGCTGCTTTAAAAGATGCCAACAGGTTCTGCTACTTTAAATTTATTTCACGTCCTAATCTTTAGATTAGGCGATTGGGCGATTTGAGAATTACAAATCCCTGGACCGCACTTCTCAACACGTCAACCCGGGTCGGCTCCTCGGCGCCCCATGGTCAGTCCCCCGAGTATCAGCATCGCCGGGAGTGACCCTGAGTGCGGAACCAGGTCTGGCTTCTGAGCACCACTGGTTCACCCCTCGCCCCCCACCCATAATCTAGTCAGTGAACTGCAGCACTTGTCAGGATTGGGGAGGGAGGACACAGGGCAGGTCCCCCGACTAGGTGCTTCCCTTAATGCCCATTTCAAGCCTTAACCGTCCGCTTCTTCGAAGTCCGCGTTGTGCCCTCCCCTCCCGGCCCGCGGCTCCCTCTCCCTGTCACTCGATTTGTTCTCCCAAACGCCCAGCCCCTCCGCTGGGAGAGATGGGGCGGGGGAAGTGGGGACCGGAGGCGTGTTCACCCACCAGCCGGGTGGCCGCTGCTCAGCACCGGGCGGGGCTGCAGAGTGTGTACCGTCTTAACCACGCTGGCCATGGCGAGGAGGTGGCTCGGCTGGACCCTGGAAGGTGCAAGGTGAACGTTACCCGGCGCTGGGCGAGGGAGCCCGAGCAGAGACGAGAGGCCATCCCGTCGGCGCCCCCGGCGCCCCGCATCCAGCCTAAGTCCCTCGCCACCCTTTCGGAGAGCCGAACCCCGGCTCCTGCGGTTGCTGCGGCTCCAGGGGCTCCTGCGGTTCGGGCGGCTCCTCCGGCTCCTCCGGCTCCTGCGGCTCCAGCGGCTCCTCCGGCTCCTGACTCTGGTCCACGTCGCTCGATTTCAAAACATGCTCCGCAGCAACTGCCACTCCGCCCGCCAGGTCGGCCGCGGCGGGTGTTTCAAACAGGCACTTCCGGAGGTCAGGCCGGAGCTGGGGCGGGGCGCTCCCTAGGGGCGGCCATTTTGTACGGCAGACGCTGCTGTGGGCAACGTCTTTAGGGGCTGCCATACTACTGTACGGAAGCTTGGGCTTCCGTGAGCAGGATGTTGTGACCCCCAGGGCTGGGTGGGGGGGAGACCACGTGGGCCTGCATGGAACTCAGAGCCAGCTTCCCGCGACTGGGTTGGGGCCCCGCGAAGAGCAGTCTAGTTCAGAGTACATGTCACAATCCTCTTTGTTTGATTGTTAGTGGCATGTTGCCTGAAGCGGAAAAGTGCGCATCAGCAGTGGGGAGTTACAGGGGAGTTTTGGAAGGGGGACTGTGGGCTGAAATATCTGCAGTTACTACCCGAAGCTTTAACTTGAATTTCACTTATCCAAAGTTGAAGCAGAGTCAAAGCTACTCCTAGCACACAGGGCAGAATTCTCCAGCACTCACAGTGTCCACTGTTCATTTCAGGTCACATGTTTATTAAGCCCTTGCCATGTTCCACTCTATTATTTTAAGAGGGTGGAGGTGGGTAAATCAGAAGGGGTCAGCAGCAGCCATGAAAACTGACTTTGACTTTGCTTAGGTTTACAATCTAAGCACTAATAAACCATCTCACAAAGGCCTCATATCAATTAAGCTGAGGGAAACCCAAATGAATATTTACCAAATGTAAAATTGAAGGGAAAAGAAGCAGAGGATATAGCTTAGTGAATTACTGTTTTTCATGTGTGAGGCACTGAAAATGCACAGTAGGGGGGGCGGGGGGGGGGAGAGAGAGAAAGAAAGAGAGAGAGAGAGAGCTCTGAAGGAAAAGTACAATGTGTGATGAGAGAAGAAAGAGAAACCAAGAAGTTTGAATTGTGAATCTGGGGAATCAGGGCAGATCTAAGGGGTAAGGTTTGATTATGAAAGGATGAGTGGGAGCAATCAGATAAACAATAGAGGAAGGAACAGAATTGTGAAATTCCAAGACAAGAATGGACTTTCTGGGTCTGGAGCGATAGCACAGCGGGTAAGGTTTTTGCCTTGCATGTGGCCAACCCAGCTTTGATTCCCAGCATCCCATATGATCCCCTGAACACCCCGTCAGGAGTGATTCCTGAGTGCATGAACCAGGAGTAACTCCTGTGCATGGTTGAGTGTGACCCAAAAAGAAAAAAAATTGGACATTCTCCAGAAGGAACTGAAAGAAGGGAGTAGAGTATAGAGATAAAGGTGGAAAGATAAAAATCTAATGGCAATCTGTTGGGATCGGGAGTTCCCTAGCCCTGGGAGGCGCGGAGAGACCAGATAGACACAATTCCTGCAGGAGTAAAAAACGGGGTTTATTTAGACCAGCATGCTGGGGCTCCGCAGCATACCCCCAAAATGGGCAGTGGCTGAGAGCCCCGAACTTCTTCAAAGGGGATCATATATAGGCCTTCACTGGCCGTTACAGCAAAGCCCGCGCATTTCATAGCCAATAGATTTGTAACAACATATACTTCCTTAACCAATCCATTTAAAAGTACCTCACTCCTTAGCCTATAGATTCAAAGATCAGCATTTACGTACATCAATTGTCAGCACAAGCAAGGTTATAGCTGGAATCATTAAGCCTTAGGTAATCTCCCTTGACCATCCTCCTTTTGAGTTACCCAAGTCTGCAGGGTGCTTTAGTGAGACAATACATCCCAGGAAAGGGCAATTTCCCCCAACCACCGCATCCTGAGTTATCCTTTATCCAAGTCTGCAGGGTGCTTTACTGAGACAATACATTTCAGGAACAGTAAATACACCTGAATCCTGTCACACTTGGTTTAGAAAGAAGTTATGCCCTGTTCACTTTCCAAGTCCCCTCTCCCCCAGGTGCAAAGCAGCCAAGCAGTTTTACAGAAAGCAATGTTACAAGTTAGCTGAAGTACACAAACATTTGATCCCCTAATATGGATTCTTTCAAATCAAAGGTAAGAAGATTGTGTGGGCCTCTCTGAGATGGTAGAGGGCGTGCAGTGGACTGTGGGCACTGTGCCCAGGACCTGGGTTTAATCTCTGGCACTACAAGAAAAAGAAAAAGAAAGAAGAAAAATGTCAAGAGCAAATCTAGGAAGATAGTTGGGAGACTAATCATTCAAGTGCGAGATACTGCTGACTTGGCTGCCAGATGGTTGTGGTGGTGGTGGAGGTGAGGGGAAATAGGAACATTTAAAACAGTGTTTGGTAGTATGGACGATTCTCAAAAAATTAGAAATTGAGCTTCCATTTGACCCAGCAATACCACTCCTGGAATATATCCCAGAGAGGCAAAAAGTATAGTCGAAGTGACATCTGCACTTGTTTGTTCATTGCAGCACTCTTTACAATAGCCAGAATCTGGAAAAAACCTGAGTGCAAACAGATGACTGGTTAAAGAAACTTTGGTACATTTACATAATGGAGTACTATGTAGCTGTTAGAAAAGACGAAATTTACATACAAGTGGTACTACATGGAAAGTATCATTTTAAGGAAATGACTCAGAAAGAAAGGGATAGGCATAGAAAGATGGCATTCCTCTGGGGAACATAATAAAGTAACAAAATAGGAGACTAACACCCAAGAATGGCCGAGATTAGTACCGGGAATTTTACTCCCTGGCTTGGAGGCCAACTACACATGCTAGGGGAAAAGGAAGCTCAGATAGAGAAGGGAACACCAAATAAAGGGTGTTGGGAGGATCCTCCCAGGATGGGAGAAGCATGCTAAAATTAGACTATAGATCAAATGTGATTGTCACCCATTGCCTCTTTTGCAAACCACAACACCCAATAAGAGAGAGAGAACAAAAGGGAATGCCCTGCCACAGAGGCAGGGGGGATGGGGACTGGGGAGTGGGAGGGATACTGGGATCCTTGGTGGTGGGAAATGGGCATTGGTGGAGGGATGGGTATTTGATCATTGTATAATTGAAACCCAAGCACAAAAATTGGTAAGTCTACAACTGTACCTCATGATGTCTCACTAATAAAAATTTAAATAAATAAATAAATAAATAAAACAGTGTTTGGAGGTTCGATCTCGAACTCATCGGATGTGAGAAATGGAAGGACAAGGGAGAGGGAGATTGTTATTACTATATATATTATTATAATGTAGCACTGTCCTCCCGTTGTTCATCGATTTGCTTGAGCGGGCCCAGTAACGTCTCCATTGTGAGACTTGTTATTGTGTTTGGCATATCGAATACGTCAAGGGTAGCTTGTGAGGCTTTGCTGTGCAGGCGAAATACTCTCAGTAGCTTGCCAGGCTCTCCAAGAGGGGCGGAGGAATTTTCTGCTGGGTCGGCTGAGTGCAAGGCAAACGCCCTATCCACTGGGCTATTGCTATGGCTATCTATTTTTGTTTTTATTTTCTTCACTGTATCACTATCATCCCGTTGTTCATCGATTTCCTCGAGCAGGCACCAGTAATGTCTCCATTTCTCCTAGACCTGAGATTTTAGTAAGTGCCACACTGGAGGCTCTTTCAGGGTCAGGGGAATGAGACTTATTATTGTTACTGGGTTTTGGCATATCTAATAATGCCACAGGGAGCTTGCCAGACTCTGCCATGCGGGCAGGATACTCTCGGTAGCCTGCTGGGTTCTCCGAGAGTGAGAACTTTTTTATTTTTTAATTCTATTTATTTATTTTTGCTTTTTTGTGTCACACCGGCAATGCTCAGGGATTACTCCTGGTTTTGCACTCAGGAATTACTACTGAAGGTGCTCGGAGGACCATATGGGGTGCTGGGAATTGAATCCAGCTCGGCTGCATGCAAGGCAAACGCCCTACCCTGTGTGCTATTGCTCTAGCCCCTATAATGATGTTTTATTATTGGATTTGGGGCTGCCCCCAGCGGAGCTTAGGAGCTTCTCCTGGCTCTGTGCTTAGAGATCACCCCCAGAAGTGCTCAGGGTTTCGGGATTAAACCCTGGCGTCCTGCCTGTAGAGCCTGCACTCAGCCTCTTGGGCTCCCTTTCGGGTCCAGGGAAGGGAGCTTAATGAAGGAGGACAGTGCGGATCGGCTTACTATTTTACTTTTGGAGTCACTGAGAGTTCACTTTTGAATTGGGAAGCTTAAAATGCTCTGAGACATACAATGGGAGCTCTAAAGGAAGTAGGTGGAAATACAAGTTTTGAGTTCAGAAGAGTTTGGGTTGGAGGTGCACTCTTGGGAGTCATGGGTATGTATGTAGAGAGGGAAACAAAGGAAAAAACAACAACCCACAAGTGTCTTATTTTGCTCTGCTTAGAAACGGTCTACTTTACACTTCACAGGGCCTTATTGGTAAAGGCAAAGCCTGGGGAGATAGCTCAAGAGACAGAGCACTTGCCTGGCATGTACCAGGTCTATGGGGGCGGGGCAGGGGTGGACCCTATTTTAAAAAAAGGGCTGAGTAATAGTACAAGGGTCAAGATACATGCCTTGCCACACCACACAGCCCCTCAGGCACTGCGAGGTGTGGCCCTGGAGGACCCTGAGGACTGCTGGGAGCCAAAGTCATCCCTGCACCATGGGTCCTGAGAGTGCATGGCTTCTTTGAGGCTTAGTACTCAATTGCTTGCTGGCCTGATTGGCTGGGAATTACCAGGTGAGGGTCCCCGGCCTTCTGGAACACAGCTTTCCCTCCCCTACCCCCATCAAAGCAAAACAGAATGAAAAAGCCCTCTGTGGGTGAAAAGTAAAGGAAGCACAAGACCCTGTCATGTTTATAAGTTACTAGAATATTGGGGCCAGAGCGATATTACTGGGGGTAGGGTAATTGCCTTGCACATAGCTGATCTGTGTTTGGTCCCTAGCATCCCATACGCACCATCAGGAGTAATTCCTGAGTGCAGAACTGGGAGTAACCCCTGAGCATCATCAGGTGTGGCCAAAAAATAAAAAAGTAAGTAAAGTAAAGGCCCTCCCGTTGATCGTCGATTTGCTCGAGCGGGCCCAGTAACGTCTCCATTGGAGACTTTGTTGTTACTGTGTCTGGCATATCCAATACTCTCGGTAGCTTGCCGGGCTCTCCGAGAGGGGCGGAGGAATCGAACTTGGGTCGGCCATGTTGGCCGCGTGTAAGGCAAACGCCCTACCCGCTGTGCTAAAAGTTGCTAAAATAATCAT